TATAGACTTCTGTACAAGAAAAAATGTAGATTTGTGTATCTGAAAAAAAAAGGACATTTACTGAAAACAAGCTATAATGCATTTCTTTTAAGTAAAACTCAATATTAGATAGACCAGGTCTTATTCTTGAGGAGACACAGTATATATGTAACCAGAAGCCAACGGGAAACATACAGCTCAGGAGAGAGGGGATTCAGCATTATGTATTCATTCATTCAGTAGCATGTCCCTCGCGGAACCTCGCTGCCATAACAACCCTCCGGAAAACCTTCCTATCCTGAGCAAGATGTCCTGCGTCTGATACACCCATCTGGAGATCATCTGCCACATCCTGCACCCATCTTCTCCTTGGCCTTCCTCTTCCTCTCTTCCCAGGCATATACCCCTACATTATTGTTCTCTCTAGACTTCCATGACGTTTCAAGTGACCAAAATATTTCAATTTTCTTTGTTTTATTGTCTTTACTAGCCAACCCTCTTCAATATTCAGCTCTTGAAGTATGGATGCATTTGTTCTTTTCTTTACCCAAGATATTCTTAGAACCTGTCTGTAACATTTATATTCAAATGCATTTATGCGCTGTTCCGCTTGTTTAGTAAGTGTCCAGGTCTCACAGGCGTATGTTGCAATGGGAAAGATGCATGCTCTTAAAAATCTGACCTTTGTAATTCTATCTGTACAATTCCATAATTTATTCATTATGTATACATTTTATAAATATTTCAAAGGGGCAGTGTGGGAAAGAAATTACTAATACAGTGCAAACAGATATACTACAAAATCACTTAGTAAAAGAAAAATCTGTACACATAATCTCCATCACCTTCTGGATAAGACTGAGCACTTATGGGTTAACTCAGAGTGTATTTACATTGGTTTAAAGTAATAATAATAATAATGAAAAAAATAATTAAATGACACTAAGGAATAAAGGACAAGAGAGACAATTGAACAGAAGATCCTTCAGACAAGAATAATATTTTACTTACAAGTAGAACAAAGCATAATACAATCTATGATAGTTTTAGATCAAGGATGCTGAAGGCAAACTGGCAGAAATTGTCATCAAACACTGACATGACAGTAATTTGGTCACACATTTATCATTGATACTACTTCATGAAAATGTTTCAGAGAATAGCAACAGGCAGAATGCACTTTCAATGGGTAGAAAGCATTTGAAAATCACACTTTACTTTCCTCACCTGGATCTACACACCTAATCATGCTGGCATAAATGGTAATGAACGAGCAGACCAAATGGCAAGCAATGCACCGACACATACAGGAAAAAGTATGGACAGAGCAGATATTATCAACGCTGTACGGACTTGACTGGTGGATAATGACGAATCTCTGACACTAACATAGCTGCATGACATGGGAGCAAAGCATGGTGAAGCACGTCTATTTCGCCTTTGAGGCAGAGATAGGAGATATTCTAACCAACCTCATGTGGGAACAATAAGTAGAAGTACCTTGGAGTGGCTGCTGCATCGGAGGACTGAGCACGCTCAGGAATGCCCATGTATGCAGTGACGCCGACTGCGATAACATAACAATATAACTACACCAAACACACCTAACCGTTAAATCTCTGTTTCCAGGAAACTGCATTTGAACATTGTAACAAATGAAAACTGTGTAGTTGAGTCTAATGTCATGTGATGAGAAAAGGAGCACTGGAAAATATTCTGACGATGGAAAGATCACTGGTAGAAGAGGCAGACCAAGAGAAATAATGATGGATGGCTTAAGAAAATGGCATGGAGGAATATCAACAGTGTAATTGACCCAGAACACCAAAGACCGAGACCTGTGTAGATGCATGAACACTTACGCCAGCTGGCAAGACACTCGATGATGATGTGTTAAAAGTAATAATTCTTTGTGACCTGTCTAGAGTTAGAATTCACCTGTGTGCCTAAATATATAGAGACAAAACTGTGTAGTTGTGTCAAAAGTCATATGATGAGAAAAGGAGCATTGGAAAATAACTTGACTGGAAAGATCACTGGTAGCAGAGGCAGAGGCAGACCAAGAGAAACAATGATGGATGGCTTAAGAAAATGGCATGGAGGAATATCATCAGTGGAAGTGATCCTGAACATCAAAGACAGAGATCTATGGAGTCGCATGAACACTTACGCTAGCTGTCTAGACACTTGATGATGATGTGTGAAAAGTAATAATTCTCTGTGACCTGACTGGAGAAAGAAATCATATGTGTGCCTATATAGTGACAAGTAGCAGCCCTGCAAATGGACTCATTTTTGTCCCGGGTATGATGGTGTTGCTGGCAATGAAAGTGCTAATAAGTTAGCTGGCACTGCCTTAACTCCAAATGGCCAATCTCTGGACCAACATTGTTAGCATCCTTACAGAAGATAACTGGAGGAGTCTGGGGACAGTGTGCCTAAATGCTTTTTAAGAATGAGAGGCTCGGGAGTACATCTCGGTACAGAGAGGCACAACAGACACGTGCGCACGCCCAAGTACATACCATAATTTTGAGTGGGATGTCTCTAGCACAGCCCACACTGTTCCCATCACTTAATTTCTGATAGGCTGTGAATGCCTTGCCGACAACATACACCAAGTAGTACTTTATTTAGAGTAGCCATCAATCCATTCCCAAATATTACTTCTCTGAAAGCTGAACGGCAGATATGGGGTTGTGCCTGTTGGTCTGCCATCCATGATCAGATTCTTGTAGTCTCAGGGGGGTCACTCCTTCAGGTAGCGGCCTGGACGGGAATGCTTAGTGTTATTAGCAGCTAAGAAATGACATCATAGTGCTCGGAGCAATCCCATAAGTGCTCCATCCTTATCTTCAGTGGCCAGTGACGCATTCCAATTCTGATGATGCCAGCAGCAGTTTGATTTTATGTCGTCTCGCCTTTCCTCTGAGTGTAGACTTTCCACCAGATCTCCTGATCATTCTCGGCCATACTATTCTCTCCACACCATCATGATTTATTCATGCTTCTACATTGTTCTCTTGCTCCCAAAGGGTCTTGACCACATCAAGCTTGTTATGCAGAAATTCCCCACCCAATGGTGCAGAGACAGCCAATCTGTCTGCCTGTTCATTTTACAACACTCCTGCACTAAATATCCAAAGAATGGTAACTACAGAATAAACAGACACATAGGACATCTTGACATCAAATCTAGATATAGTTCTTTCAACCATGCTACTTATCAGTTCAACAGAAGCCAAAAGCAGAAGAGGAGAGGCACTTTCTGAATCAAATCTGATCATTTCTGAACAAGAAAACAATCAAATGAAAAGACAGAATATCAAATGCAACATAGATACAACTCAAATATAATTGAATCAAACAACTTATATATAAGATTCGCTGTTAACAATCTAAGCCCAAGTGGATTAATGACCTGGCCATCATGCTTCCAGTAACAGAACTATACAAGTTAAAATGTATGTGTTATTTATCAACTCCAGAACATACTGAAATCGTGACTTCGATTCTTCCAGTTTCTGTTGCATCATCCGCACATGTCATGCACACACAAAAAAACGTGAGTAGTCAAGATTTAAATGTGGGAAACTGGTTGAAAAAATTAACATCAGATGCAGCAAAGCACTGGGACAGCTAGGCCCCTCCTGACACTCCCCCTCCCCTCCCCCAATCCCACTCACAAATAAACATCACTTCTTCTTCTTTTTCAGCATTCTGAGCCTTTGAGGTTCATTGCAGCAGATACCACCCACCTCCAGGCATCTCTCTGGTTGGCCTTCTCTTTCCAGTTGGTAGACACCAAGTGTTTGCAGGTCTGTCTGGACATTATCTCTTCATTTTCTTTTTGGTCTGCCTCATGGTCTACGACCGTTCATCTCCCTTGTGTACAGTTTTTTACTTCTCTGTCATCTGACATTCTTTCAACATGCCCCAACTATTTCAGTCTATTTACTTTCATGATGCCAGTGATCAGTGGTGATTTAAACAGATTATGAATTTTGTTGTTGCTTCTTACTCTCCATTCCCCACTGCATCTTTGATGGGTCCATAATTCGTCTAAACACTCTGTTTTTGAAAACCCGTAATAAGGCTTTAACTCTTTTAGTTGTGCTCCAAGTTTCATCTCATACAAAGCATATTCATTCCTACTCTAAGCTACCAGTCCTAGACATGGTCACTGACAACAAATCATAAAAGAAAATTAGTAACCATGGAAATGAGACGTCTGAGAAGGGCTGCAGGAGTGATCAGAAGAGATCAAATCAGAAACAAGATCATAAAAGAAAAAAAGCCACAGGACCATTTCTAAACTACACAAAAAGACAGCAAATTAGATAGTTTGTCCACTCGGAGAGAATGCCTTGTGATACCATACCACACAAGCTATGCAACAAAGTGGAGAAGGATCTAGAGCACAACGCAGAACAAGTTGGAAAGATAACATCAGAGAAACTCTTACAACATGATGTGACTAGGGCCCGAGGAGACCAGAAGAGCAGAAAGCAGTAAAAGAAGAAGAAGAAGAAGAAGTCATGATTCGCCATCTAACATAATCACCACAGCCTAGGATCAGGTATTGTTTCATTCCTAATTATGCCCTATTTCAAGATATTCAGGTATTTATCCTTGTATTCCCTTTGCTCTTTTCACAAACTACTGGCAAACTGTCACTAAACTTTAAATTCAGGTTTATTTTTTCTCTCACCCCCCCCCCCCCCCCCTCTTCCGAATACTACTTGTATACATGTCTATTTATTCTGACATTCATCATTTACTAGAACATTTATTAGTAACCGACAAACAAATAATCAGGAAGGATTAAGAAAGTATACAACAGCACCTCTAACTTATTTTATATAACAATATTCCTAAAACCATAAATACAGTTATAAAAAAATTTCTAATCTGTGTCCACAATTTCATTTTCAAGACAATTAATGAAGAAATCAATCCAGCAGCAATTGGTGCTGTCTGAATACGTGAGGCTAGACAATGTAAATTTCACTATCATATAGCTATTCTGTCTTGATTTTATTGCCGTCAAGTCGGGGCTGATCCACAAAGATGATCCCGTACATGAAGATGGTCGCCAGAGACAGGATGGTGGCCACTCCCCAGAAGAGAACGTACATCATCTGTTCACTCAGATGCTCTGTAAAATAGAAGATGACCAACAAGTTATCACAAATCTGGGAAGGGGGGAATTCTGGTTCTACAGTCGTCATAATAGCACCCTGGACATACACAAAGGTGCTCACTATCCAGCAGCAAAGTTGCAGACAAGTCTGTTCACATTACATCTTTGTTTTTTAAGAAGATGTTACTTTAACTAATAAATATATCTTCCCCTGTGTCTTTCTTGCTGAATCCACCATAAACTCCAAACTGATGCAATCTTACATGTGTTATTTTATCTAATATCACAGCTTCTATTAGCATTCACTCATACCACCTAGTTTTCTCAATCAGCAACTGTTTGGTCTCACCAACTTAGGAACTGTCTCATCATCATCAGGTGCCTTGCCGACTGGCGTGGGCGATCATACCTCTCCACAATCTGCGAATTCCTGCAGCATGTATTAGTCTGTATGCTGACCCACCTCTATGCCATGCAACAAGACTGTCAAAAATACTTTTCTCGTTGTCTTCCTCTATCCCTCCTTCCACAGATCATTCCAGTGGTCACAACATGTTCCATTTTCCCTCTTCTCATAATATGGCCAAAAAAATTATGGCTGTCTCTTTCTGATGTCTGTGATTAGTTGTCTTCGGGCTCCCGCCTCTTTCAAAACCTCTTGGTTGCTCTTTAAGAACCTGTCGAGCCTCATCAATTGGGTATTGCCTTCTCTTGGCAACTCAGAAACTGTACAGTTTCATGATATGGAAAACTTTCAAGTCACACTAAAAAATATTGTCTGGTAGAAATGAGGAAATTGTCTTATCGTTCAGAAATTATCAAGTGCTGATCTGGAAAGCTGTCTGGTCCAGCGTCTGAGGAACTGCCCATCTTACTACTTAGTTGAGTTGATTTGTTTCAAGAATTGACATCCCAGCTCTCAGGCATTCCCCTGCATGCTCTGTCCTCATCTTCAGCAGCCAGTGCAGAGTTCCAATACTGATGGTACCGGTCACAATCTGGTTAAATGTATCTCACTACTTAGAAAATGGTCTAGTCCCATGATTTTACTGTGAACTCACACAGTCTACTTCCAAACCATTAATGAAGAGCAACATTATTCACAAGCTTGTGTCTCCAATCAACTGTTTGAAAATAAATTTCACTCCTTCTTTTGAAGCTATCTTACTCTTACACACCTCCAATCTATTTGCGATTATCTGGCGGACAATGTGCTTACTATGACTAGCCCAGCACAGGACAGAAGCGATGTAACCGAATGCAATGCGTGCATATTGTGAATACGATTATTCTGACAACAAGCAGGACCCGGTATCTTTGTCCAGGTCTGGAAGTGTTACACCTGAGCAATCAGACATGAACATTTGACTAAAGGCACGAGCTATCTGATTACATCAATACAGAACAGGCAGTCATTGTACACTTGTCTTGCTACTAAGGAAGAGATCAGAGCACCTATGGATCTGTCTGAAGTGCTATAGTGAGAGTTCTTGCTAATCACTTTCCTTGATGTGTCTTTTTTTTCTTTCTAGCTCCTATACCAGAGCTATTCAACTAAGTTTAGTCAGGGGCCAAAATGCTGAAATTGGGAATCGTCAAGGGCCAGAGGACTGGTCCATAACATAGAAAGATCATTAATACCGTACAACTGGCACTGATCCGCTGGCCACTTACTAGGCTTTCGCAGGCCAGATTTGGCCCACGGGCTGTCAGCTGAATAGCCCTGTCCTATATTGTTCAAGCTCCATTTCCCACTTACATTTTCTAATCATTATCTCTCTTAACAATGCTGTATTTTAACTCTTCCAATAAAGGACTTATTATTATTATAGCCCACTCTGTGTTGTGCTGGTAGTCATGTCTTATCCATAAGCTTCTGTCTCATGCACTTTCAATCATTTCAGACGCAGTTGACCTTCGATGCCAGCATCTTCACTCTTGGTCTCCCTCTGCTTCTTTTCCCCTCCAACTTTCCCACCGTCACACTGTACTCCAGTTTTCTCCTTCTTATGAAATGACTAAAGAATGTAGATTGTCGCCTGATGTGGGTAACAGCTCTCTTTGTCACAAAGGAATAACCCATATGAAAAGCCATGACTTGCTTTGTCACAAAGGAAATAACCCATATGAAAAGTCATGACTCTCTTTGTCACAAAGGAATAAACCATATGAAAAGCCATGACTTGCTTTGTCACAGAGGAAATAACCCATATGAAAAGCCATGACTCTCTTTGTCACAAAGGAATAACCCATATGAAAAGTCATGACTCTCTTTGTCACAAAGGAATAACCCATATGAAAAGCCATGACTCTCTTTGTCACAAAGGAAATAACCAATATGAAAAGTCATGACTCTATTTGTCACAAAGGAATAACCCATATGAAAAGTCATGACTCTCTTTGTCACAAAGGAAATAACCCATATGAAAAGTCATGACTCTCTTTGTCACAAAGAAATAACCCGTATGAAAAGTCATGACTCTCTTTGTCACAAAGAAAATAACCCATATGAAAAGTCATGACTCTCTTTGTCACAAAGAAATAACCTGTATGAAAAGCCATGACTCTTTTTGTCACAAAGGAATAATGCATATGAAAAGCTATGACTCTCTTTGTCACAGAGGAAATAACCCATATGAAAAGCCATGACTCTCTTTGTCACAAAGGAATAACCCATATGAAAAGTCATGACTCTATTTGTCACAAAGGAATAACCCATATGAAAAGCCATGACTCTCTTTGTCACAAAGGAAATAACCAATATGAAAAGTCATGACTCTCTTTGTCACAAAGAAATAACCCGTATGAAAAGTCATGACTCTCTTTGTCACAAAGGAAATAACCCATATGAAAAGTCATGACTCTCTTTGTCACAAAGAAAATAACCCATATGAAAAGTCATGACTCTCTTTGTCACAAAGAAATAACCTGTATGAAAAGCCATGACTCTTTTTGTCACAAAGGAATAATGCATATGAAAAGCCATGACTCTCTTTGTCACAAAGGAAATAACCAATATGAAAAGCCATGACTCTTTTTGTCACAAAGGAATAATGCATATGAAAAGCCATGACTCTCTTTGTCACAAAGGAAATAACCAATATGAAAAGTCATGACTCTATTTGTCACAAAGGAATAACCCATATGAAAAGTCATGACTCTCTTTGTCACAAAGAAAATAACCCATATGAAAAGTCATGACTCTCTTTGTCACAAAGAAATAACCTGTATGAAAAGCCATGACTCTTTTTGTCACAATGGAATAATGCATATGAAAAGCTATGACTCTTTTTGTCACAAAGGAAATAACCCATACGAAAAGTCATGACTCTCTTTGTCACAAAGGAAATAACCCATATGAAAAGTCATGACTCTTTTTGTCACAAAAGAAATAACCCGTATGAAAAGTCATGACTCTCTTTGTCACAAAGGAAATAACCCATCTGAAATGCCATGACTTTCTTTATCACAAAGGAAATAACCCATATGAAAAGTCATGACTCTATTTGTCACAAAGGAATAACCCATACGAAAAGTCATGACTCTCTTTGTCACAAAGGAAATAACCCATATGAAAAGTCATGACTCTCTTTGTCACAAAGGAAATAACCCATTCAAAAAGTCATGACTCTCTTTGTCACAGATGAAAAAACCCATATGAAAAGTCATGACTCTTTGACTTTCTAAAAAGATACATGTGCTGTGCATGTAGCCACTAAGTAGCCACACTGTTAGTATGCTGTGACGTGTAACAAGTTCCAGAACACATGATGCGATGGTTTGGTTTCACCAGAAAGAAATAGCTAAGCATGGCACATTTCATGGGGCTGAAAACATTGAGAGGGGGAAAAAACTGGCTTGCAGTATTGACAACAGCCAATTAATATCTAAAAAATTCACAAAACACAAGAAAGGCAATAATTAGCAGATTTCAAACAAATATAGAAATTGTAAAAGATGTATTTTAAGAAACTGTTAAATACACAGCTTTAAACATAATAAGTTGGTGATAGTTATACAAGTGAATTAAGGCCAGCACAACTGTTTTCATTAGTAGAAACATACTACATACACCCACAAGAAAGATACGCAACTTAAGTTTCTTTTATACACACATAGAGATATGCAACTTTTTAAAATATATATATAAATGTATACACATTAAAATTGCCTCTTCTGGCATGCAATACAAATGTTTTGCGACCCTTAAAAAAGGGAGCTCTGACCCTCCTTGAGAAACTATTTTTTTTCCCGTACTCTTTACATGAAAACTCATATCAAGTCAATTATTATGAGGAGTTATTGCTGAGACGCCAGGCTGTGACATAACATGGTTTTGGCGCGCAAAGGATCAATCAATTTTTTCTGCAGCAGGCAGTGTATTCTACAGTAAGTAAGTTTGTAAAAATCTTCTAAATTAGCCACACTAAGACAATTTGTGTGTTTTTTGTTTTTAAATCCTGTGTTCATTTTTATATAAGTATGGGAAATTTCACAAGGACTGGCCTTAACGAAAGTGTTAAAAAACATATTTTTTTTTTGGAATCACTGTTTTTGCTTTAAATCCAACATATCTGGGCTATAGGGACGTTTGACCTGCTTCTACTATATAATTAACTAACTGTGGTTTACTAGGCAATTTACACTCAGTTGTTTGCCTTTGCTTTCTGAACAGTAGAATGGTTGTAAAACTGTTGAGTTCCCAGAATTGTTTTCTAGGACCATTATTAATTACAAGACCATTCAAACTGAGCACATAAAGCATACAATGAGAAATAACATGCTAGGGTATATAACTTCCACACTTAGAAAGAAAAGACTTTAAAATAATGCCAAACTTTGTGATTCCAGTCCCCCTCCCCCTCCCCCTGCGGGTTCCGAGGCCCTATTCTGGGTGAAAACAGAACAAACCCACTGACTCCCAACAAACATATCATAAAGGGCAACTAATTATGGGTGTTTACTTCAAAGTCAGAGTGCATTTTCCTGAGAGTTGAGAAACCAACCATTGGCAT